CCCGCCCCAAGCAATTCAGAAATCGTTGGCTTTCGAACTTCACCCATCATCTCGATCGAGGTCCCACTAGCGAAGGGGATAGGATAGAAATCCTGAATCTGGCTATGTTTTAAGCAGAGGTACAGAAAAGCAGTTCTATCTCGATTTCCTACTCCTGTCCTCAAACACGTCCAGATTCAGACATTCAATCCGATGCTCTTTGCTAACGGGATTACGGCTCTGGATTTGAACACGGGTGTGTATTTTCAAAAGTTCACAGGTGTACCCACTGAGCTAGGCTCTTGTTTGGTTTTATGTCCGCTGACTACGGCCTAAGATCCCACTGGCAAAGAGGATTGTAGTGAATGTCGGAATGTGGAGGTGTTTATGGACAGGTGCGAAAAAGTTCTGAGTGATCTACTATTCTGCACCTCTGCGTGGAACACGTCCAGATTCATACACTTCTTCCAATTCGCTTTGCCAGTGGGATCTGGCCCTAACTGTAGATGAGGTGTGGGAATCAAGGAACGTATCGCGGGCGGGAGCGAGGTCCCACTCGCTCGGAATGCCAGATCGGGACCGTTGATCCACGGTCAGAAATGAAGTTCTTAGAAAAAGGGAAAACAAAAAAAAGAATCGCCGTAGGTGGGAACCGACCCCCGAATTGCGGTAGGTAGCACAAGAAGAGGGCCCGACCGCCGAGGAGCAATGCCACAAAACAAAATGGCAAGGGAAAAACTGACAAATAAAAAAAAAAAAAAAAAGGGGAACGGCGAGGAGGCATGTGCCTATTTTCGCAGGGAAAACACAGCCCGGGGGCTAGGTCCCACCTACACGAATTAAGAGATATTGGCCGTAGATAGGATAGCAAAGATCAACGGCCAGAATCTCTTCATCCGTGCAAGTGGGACCTTGCCCCGGGGCAAGATCTGACCGTAGGGAGAAGTGACAATGACCAGGGCCGAGGCTAACTAGTACGCAAAAGCTAACTAGTACGCAAAAAAAGGGTACACGCTTGCACAATTCCCCAATATAAGGCAAGAGTTGAAGCAAATCACTTGGAAGAAACGGATCGATGGCCACAGACGCCAGCCGTGTGGGCACCTCCCTCCCATAGCAAAAAGAAACAGGAAAAAAAAACTAAGGAAACGCGTGAAATAGTGAATAAAGCCCGTCTTCCAATTTGCTCGCCGCTAATAGTTATTATCAATAGCATAAGCAAAACGCATGAAATAGGAAGTGAGAGACGGGACCTGCGTTGCGGCGGCGCATTAGCGCACTAAGCACGCGGCGTCGAGCTTCATGCCTAGGGTTTAGTTGACGATGTCTAGCCGCCATAGCCCGGGGCGCTCAGCACGGGCGAAACGGTAGTTCACGCAGCAGCGCCGATGCCTGGGAAGCAGAGCAGCTGGCATGCGTTGGGTGGGACTGTCCTTTGCCCGTCATTGGGAGAAATAGGTGGAATGGAATGGAGGAGATGAAGGGTTGGACAGACTGAAGGGAAGGGAGAAGGTGGCGGGTGAAGGCTTTTGAGAATACACCAAACATATTGAACCGAAGAACGCGAAGGTTTTTCGCGTCCTTCTTATGGAAAAGGGGTAATACCTTTACTATAGGAGGAGTGTCTATGTATCGAGGCTCTTTTTCGGTATAGGGGACGACCAGCAACGCGGAGCTCAGAAAAGTCGACATCGAAGGGAGCGAGCTATGATGGTAAGACATCTTCATATCCCAGCGACAATTAATGTCTCTGTGTATGTGACCAGAGCCTCAGTGAATAACAACTAATAGACTGTGTTTTTTTCAAAACTAACGTATGTTTTCGGTCGAGCACTGCACTATCTAGAATAAGAGTTCCGACCGTCTCGAGGCGCGTCTGTCTCGCCCATCAGACGGTTGGGCACTGTTGTCTGATCTTGGTCGCCTTAGACTCAGCACTGTACTTATCGGATCCGTTGGCTTTACTATATTCGCCTAAATAGTGGGATGGGGTTATAACAGCCTTTCCTCTTTCAGGCTATAATCTGGCCGGAGGGATATACTGTAAGTCCCAACCAGGTGACACCGTGGCAGCCGAGAGTATCTAGGTATTCGAATGTATTATTGTTTCTCTCCGGGTTAGGTGAGCCAACTTGCACAGGTCAGATGTTAGCGGAAAAGGTGCCTGCATGACTAGGACGCTGTAGAGAGTGCGTCTGTTGTGAGCTAGCGAATAGGAGATTTTATATTCAGAGGGAGTGGCAATCTCCTCCCCTCTCAGGGTTTCCGGTTAGATTCAATACTCTGACACCTACTTGCAAGCGGCCCGTTGGTATCCTTTCGGGCCAGGGGGCCCGGTCCACCAAGGACCGTATTTTGCGATAAAGGGGGGGCTGTCCGACTTGGCCTGTGCCTGGGCTGAATCGACCGAGTAGTAGAGGTGCGACACTAGTCTCGCCCGGCCTCTCTTCCCGACTGCGGAGTCACCGGAAGGTTCTGTTCTGTGAGGCACTTGTGGCAGGTAAACCCTAACCCTGTCTATTCCTCATCTCCTGGAGTGGGAAAATCGCCTCCCCTATTCCCGTTTTTTACGTGAAAGGAGGCCCGGTTGTCAGAAACTCTGTAGGGCGTAATTCCTTCGTGAGGGAACGGAACTGCAATTGGAGAAACTGCGAGGAATACGGGGGGAAGATGACCTTATCTCTATTCTTCACGATGTGAGCGTGAATCTACAGTTGCATAGCATGTGGATTCCTCCCTCTTGTCGAGGGGTCCAGTTCACTAAGGACGGGTCTGGCGTGGCAGGGGGGTCGTCTAGTTAGTTTTCTACTTGAGCAAAGACTGTCGAAAGCGTCGGTCCTTCTATGCTCTACGGTAGTGGGAGGAAGATAGCCGAGCAGGGCAAAGAAGAGTTAGCGGCCGATATCGAAGGTGTCGGCCGTAAAATTCAACCCTAAGCTGCTGGGCGCGTGCCACTCTTTCGAATCACCCGAAAGGGGGCGAGATGTCTTGTGATCTGATTTAGACGCATTTATTACACAGTCCATAGTCGGCGTAAAATCAGCGGCCAGCAGTAAATCACGGGAAAGGAGTATAGAGTCAGGGTGTCTATCAAACACAACCCATGGCCACACCGGTTATGAATATACCAACCAAATCCAAAGGCAGTCATCGTAGCTTGAAGAAATTCCCAACCGACACGATCGTACGCTTTCTCTAAATCCAAGAGAATAACCGCAAATTGATCTCCCGTTGAGGACACCCATTCCATGAATCTTTCTACAGTCATAACATTGTATAGTATTTGCCTCCCTTGCAGAAACCCAGTTTGAGAAGGGTGAATTATCGTAGGCAATACTTTTTGCAATCGGGTCGCCAAAATTTTCGAAAAAATCTTGTACACCACAGGCATCAATGTTATCGGCCTATAGTTACGAACATCTGTGCGATCCCCTTTCTTAAAGACAAAGGTGATGACGCCTTCCAATGCTGTAGCAGACAAATCAGCTCCATTCCAAACCATTTGACACACAGTCAAGAGTTCAGGTATGAGAAGAGGGGAAAACCTCTTGAAAAGGAGGGAAGGCAGTCCGTCAATACCAGGTGTTTTCTGGTCAGCCAATTATTTAACTGCATCAACAGTCTCCTGGTAGGTCACTTCACTTTCCAGCAGTGCAGACTGTCCAGGTGACAGTTTCCTGTCTAACTTAGACCAGACAGGTTCATGGAATTGGTCAAGCAAGCCAAGCTCAGTGTGTTGAGCTTGCGAAGCCAACAAACTCTCATAAAACAACGATACATTACGCACAATGGACAGTGTATCTATTGCGAGGGGTTGTGCATCCTGGAACGGGTGTTTCATAGCAAGGATCATTCCTGTCTTCACAGGAGAGCGGCGTCCCTAAAAAAAAGGAGCTGTCATTCGGTCTCCTTTCACAAGCCATGTTGTTTTTTTCCGGTGTGTGATAGTTCTCACTGCCGGCTGCACATTCATGGTCCATTGCTGTCTCAGTTGGTCCATATCTGCCATCAGCTGCGCCTTGTCCACCCCTGGCATTGCCGCTGTACGCATAAGTTCAGCCATTCGGTCATTAACCTTTGACAACTGAGTACGGGAGTTGGTAACGATAAGTTTTTTTATGAGCTGTCCTCTTTCAAGGACAACTCTCAATCCGCCCTGAAACCAATCAGCCAATGAGGGGAAAAGCGGTTGTGAAGAACGCCATTGAACCCAAAATTGACGCATGAACCGTCTAAAATCATCGGTCTTGACAACCCACTCAGGTAGCATCACCCGGTCAGAGCCCATTCGGATTGAAGAGTGAAGAAAAAAATCCAAAAAGAGAGGCAAATGATCCGATCCCAAAAATGATGCCACAAAACAACGAGAAATCCTATGTAAAACTGAATCTGATGCCAGGAACAGATCTATTCGGCTACGTGGAATATAATGCTGAGCATGTGCCCCAGAGGCAAAAAAAGTGTATCCCTTTTCAAACGGGTGTAATAAACGAAAAACATCAGAGAATCCATGAATCATACCAAAATTAGAAAGATGGGCAGCATCTGTTGTAACCGGACCTACTCTCAAGGAGTTCATTCCAGGCATAAGCGTAGTGTTCCAATCTCCCCCCAAAATAACATTTTCAACCTGT